TATTTTAGCTTTCTCGTCTTTTTCGACTTTCAAATATCCATGACGGCCCAAGCAGCTTCCAAAATCGCCTCAGAACAGCTCAAAAAGCCCCCAAGAGGGCCCCAAGACGGCCCAATAGGGCCCCAACACCGGCTCAAGAGGACCCCGAGACGGCCCCAAGGCGGCCGCGAGAGGCCCCCAAGACAGCCTCCGAGGGGGCGAACCGGCGCAAAAGCGCCCCAAAACGGCCCAAGACGCCCCCAAGAGGCCCCCAACAAGCCTCCAAGAAGTCCCCCAGAAGCCTCCAAAATGCCTCCAACAAGCCCCCCAAAGGCCACACAGCGACTGGTGTGTAATTGTATTTTACCCCCTCTGGGCGAACTGCGGCGCAGCGCCAGCCAGGTGGAAGTTGGTCACTGCGGCGCCCATGATTGGAGCCGGCGACGGAAGGGAAGATGGGGAGGGTGTATGAAGAGGAAGGAGGGGGGAAAGCCCCCCCAAAAAAACCCAAAAGGCCAAAAGAAACTCCCAGGAGGCCTCCAGGAGGCCCCCAAAAGGCTCCCAAGAGGCCCCGTGACGACGTGACCGTACGTGCTCCGGACGTGCACCCCGCGAAGCGAGAGGAATCAAGCCAGACGATTTGGGATTTGGGCTGGGATTCGGGACTGGTCCTGCGGAAGAGAACGCGCCGTCCAGTCGACCAGCCCCCTCCCCTCGGGAAACCAGTGCACGCTGAAGGGTGCGCCAAGGGGGGGCCCGCGCCTGGCGCGTCCTAACGCCTCCCAATGGGTACTGCAAGTCGACTACTATCTTCCAAAAAGGCTTGCCCTTCGCCCACCCCGACCCGCCAGGGGCTTCCCCTGCATGGCTGTGGGCGCGCCCGCGTTTGGTTCTCTTGCTTGGATGCACACATACGAATACAAGTCCCTACCCACCCTCCTGGCAAATCCCGAACCGAACCTGACCCAGGCCCTGTCGACACTGCACGAAAACTAACCTGACCCATTAAAGCAACCGTGACCAACGGCTCGGCGACACCCGTGTGTCACGCGCGCGCGCTGTAGCCAAGAATGTACCAGAACGAGGCGACCTAGCAATATACAACGCAAACGTGCCATCTGCATCACAAATCCATTGTCGTCTCATGAAGGGGCCGTGGGACACACAAATGAATACACACACAAATAACAGGATTCCCCATATTCCCTCATATTTTCTGGGTTTTCGTCTTCCCCCCACTTTCCAAATTTCCCCATGTGTTCTGGGGAATCGACGATAAATTGTGTCTGTGTGTTTTTCCCTCCTGAGAAGAACCTCGTCAGCGCAAGCAACTTTCGCAATCATGGATGCGGCCGGCGCTGAGGCGAAACACAACATTCTGAATCATGGATGTTGCCGGCGCGTGGGCGAGCGCAACTTTCGCAACCGTGGATGTGGCCGGCACTGACGAGAGAGCAACTTTCGCAAACGTGTATGTGGCTGGCGCTATGGGGAGAGCAACATTCGCAATCATGGATGTTGCCGGCGCCGAGGCGAGAGCAACACTCGCAACCATGGATGTGGCCGGCGTTGAAGCGAGAGCAACGTTCGCCAAGGCGAGAGCGACATTCTCAATGAAGGATGTAGCCAGCGCCTAAACGGCAGCAGCATTTTCGATCAGAGATGTGGCCCACGCAAAGCGAGAACAACACGCTCAATGAAAGATGCCGTAAGCGCCTCGGCGACAGCAACATTTTCAATCAGAGATGTGGCCCACTCGCAAGCCAGAGAATCATTCCGAGACAGGCGTTTCGCCAGAACGCAGGTGCACGCCCATTCCGCGTGGGCCGGGCTCGGTGTCACCGAGGAGGTGTGTAGCCCACGTTAGGGGGCGTGCCTAAAACAGGCGGCGCGCCCCGGGGGAAGTGAGAAGAGGCAGGCCTTCGCTGAAGGCTCGGAAGCTCCCCGGCCTTCTGAGAAGTGTTCCAAGCCTTCCCAGAGGGCACAGAAAACTGGTCAAAGGCGCGAGGGCTTCTGAGAAGTCCCGCCGCCTTCTGAGCAGGCCTTCTCCTTCTCGCTTCCCCCCTTCGCTCGCCGCCGATGTAGAATCACACACCGCACTGGCGGCCATCGCCGTGCAGTGCCGCTCGCCGCCGTGGAGAGAGAGGGGTGCGACCTTCGCCTCGCGACCTCGGGCCTGGACGGCCCCTCCACGCAGCCTCGCCGCCGTTGGTCCTTGCCCTTCCACAGCAATCATACGCACACGCACCGCGCACCACGCACCACGCAAACGCACACACGCACTCACGCACTCACACACACATGCACACACACACACACACGCACGCACGCACGCACGCACACACACACACACACACACACGCACGCACGCACGCACGCACGCACGCACGCACGCACGCACGCACGCACGCACGCACGCACACACACACACACACACACTCACACACACACACTCACACACACACACGCACATACACACACACACATACACACACACACGCACACACATGCACACACACGCGCACGCACGCACGCACGCGCAAGCGCACGCACGCACGCGCACACACGCGCACGCGCACGCGCACGCGCACGCGCACACGCACACGCACACGCACACGCACACGCACACGCACACGCACACGCACACACACAGACACATACACACACAGGCACACACACAGGCACACACAGGCACACACACAGACACACACACACACACACACACACACACACACACGCGCACGCGCACGCGCACACGCACGCGAACGCACACGTTATTTGGCGCGGCACTGCGCGCAGCGACAGGGAGCGGAGAACATCGAAGAACAGCAGCCGAGCGTGCGCGCCTGGGAGCGCCCGAGGCCTCGGAGACCACTTGGGGTCCCGCAGCAGCCGCTCGCCGTAAGCACACACGCACACGCGCACACGCGTGCACACCCTCTTGGCGGCCGCGGCCCCGCGCGCGGCGACGAGGCGCAGAAGATGTCGAGCCCCCGAGCTGGAAGGGAGCGGAAGGAGCGCGGGCCGGCCGGGCTCACGCAGCGGGGACATGCAGGGGGCGGCCACGCGACATGAGTCGCAGGTGGGGGGGGGGCGGCAGCAGCGAGGGGGGACGAAAGGGGGAGCGACCAAGACGAGACGAGGCGTACGGCAGGTGCAACTGGGTGCAGTGGCAGACCGACGTAGGTCGACAAGCGAGTCGCAGTGAAGGCACACACACACACACACGTGCACACACAGTTTTCCTCAGCGGCGAGGTGACGGCACCGTCTCGGATGACAGCAAGGAACACTAACTGCTAACAGTATGCTGAATTACCACGAGGCATTGCCGGTGGGGGAGAGCACAAGGCTTGAGTCGGAGTGCAGGAGAATTGCACCCAGCATTGCGGATGAAAGGAAGCGGAGGACCCATCTGCCGGCGTGCAGGAGGACACACACACACACATACACACACACGCACAGACACAGACCTCCGATTCGCCTCCGATTGCTCTGGACCGCTTCCCAGGGACCTCCAAAAACAAGCGCAAACTTACTCCACATCCCCTCAGCCCTTACCCCCCTCTTGGACGCCTACGACGACGACATAAGATGGTCACGGCGACGACGCCGACGACGACGACTACGACGACAGAAGGAGAGAAGCGGCGACGACGCCGACGACGACAAATGGGGACGACGACGACGACGACGATGACAGACGACACACAACAGACAACGACAGGCGGCAACGTCGACAAAGACGAAGGCCCCCATAGGCCTCCAGAAGCCCCCAGTCCCAGGAGGGCCCCGCCATCGTCCCCAAATGCAGCGGCCCTCGAAACTCGATCCCCCAAGACGGCGACGACCTCTCCCCGCGGGCGGCGCACATTTTGAGGCGTCCAAAACGGCAGTTCGAGCAAATGGGGTCGGAGGATCGCGCCGCATCGTCGATGCATCGCCGATACATCGCCGATGCATCGCCGATGCGTCGGCGCCGCCACCGTGGAGAGAATTGGGCTCCACATGGGGCCGCATCGCCGATGCATCGGCGATGCCGAACGATTCTCCGGCCCCATCTACACGGGCCCCATCTGGGAGGCCTCCAAAAGTGCGATGCCCGCGGAAAGAGTTCGTTGAGGATCGAGCTCCGAGGGCCTCGCGGCCGTTTCGGGGAGCCCATGGGGACCTCTGGAGGCTTCTCGGGGCTTCCGTCTTGGTCGTCGTCGCCGCCTGTCGTCGTCTGTCGTCGTCGCCGCCGCCGCCGCTCGTCGGCGACTGTCGTCACCTGCCTAGTCCCAGACATGCGTTGGATGCTCATTCTGGAGACCTTCCTGGAAACACTCGCTCCACTCTTGCGTCGAAGCTGCGTCGAACGTCCGTCGATTTGAGTCGACCCTGAGTCGAACCTGAGTCGAACTTGAGTCGAACTTGAATCGAACTGGGGTCGAAGTAGAGTCGAACATATCTGTTCGGTGGGCCTCAGGAAGGTCCCCTAAACGAACATCCAACATGCGACGTCCTGATTTTCTCAACACCCTGTGGCCGGTTTTCCAGCGCGAGTCGACTCCGAAGGCCCCAGGGCCTGGCGAGGGCCCCCGGAGGCCGAAGATTGCCAACAACCAGCTCCCGCCAAGAGCTTCTCGCGGCGCGCGGCGGCTTCAGAGTCCGCTCCAGATGGGTGCCCAGACCCCTGCCAGGGTCCAGACGCCCCAGTTTTTCGAGCCGCGTCCAGCCGTGGCGACGAGGGGCCCCCGGAGGCCACAAGGCCTCGAGCCTCGATCTTCGAGGTTCGATGCTTTCTCGACGCGATCCTCTCGTCCACGACGCGAGCATGTCTGGGCTGACGAAGCCCGGTTCCATTTTCCTGCCCGGACGCAAAAGGCCACCGGGCGGCGGGGCCTCGGGCCCGCGAGACCCCCCGGCCACCGCGCTGCCGCGCGCGTCGCGTGCGGCGGTCGCGCGGAACGGCGATCCCAAGTGGCACCCAGCCTCCGGGTCGACGATGGACGCCAGTCGACGCTAAATCGGCACATCTCGTCAGGCGCTAAATCCCGCCCCCGACGACGACGGCACCCGCGGGCATCTTGGGCGTTTCTTGGAATAGGGGGACGATAGTTGGGGTGGAGAGAACGTGCACATTTTGCGCCCCTTTTGGGCCCCAGGGTGCCCTTTCAGGTGCACCTTCTTCACCCCGCATTTAGCGCCACCCCCCAGAACGCAACGCCCGAGTACCCCCTGCTAAGCAGTGTGCGGGGACCAGGGGTAGGGGTGAGATCTCGGCGACTTTGAGGGGGACCGTTCCCCCCACCTCCTGTCGCGGCACCCGTTCGGCACAGCTGCCTCGCCCCTGTTGTGGTTGGGGGTGGGGGTGTCATGTTTCGAATGCGAGATCGACCACATAATTCATTTACCCCAAGATTGAAGTGTGCAGTTACGAAGAATGCGCGCATTGTTCCGTAGATCCACGAAAAGTCTATGTCAGCATTCGTAGATTCGTAGCGAAAGAACTTAGGGGTAAATCAAGGGTGCAGTCGATATGATACTCGAAGTTTGGGCTGCGAAGCCGGCGCGCCGCCGCGCGCGTCGCGTGCGGCGAAATCGCGCCGAAAACGCGCGCCGCGCCGCTCGACGGCCAGCCGCCGCGCTGCGGCGGCGGGCGGCGGCGGCCGCAGCGGTGCGTCCAGCCCGCGTGGTCCTGAGGGCAACGAGAGGGGGGATGGGCATATGGGGGAGATGCATCGTCGATGCTTCAAGCGTTCGAGGTCGATGCATCCCCCCCTATGCCTATCCCCCCCCTGTCGTTGCCCCCGATGTACGGCCCGCCGCCCTACGCCGGCGACATCAGGGACTGGCGCCCGCTCCAGCTGGGCTTCGGCGACCTCGGGGGCGCTGGGGGCCCCCGAACTCCGGCCGTCTCAACATGTCTTCAAGCTGGGCGTCCTCGCCGCAGTGAATCAAGCCCGGGGGCCCTCACAGATCGAGCCTGGTCGAAAGATGGCGTAGAAAGATGGGGTCAAGGGCTCTGGTCCTGACGATTTACAGGATATTGCAATGTTTCCCAACCGTCCTGTGGTGTTGGGTCCTCGCTTTGAACAGACAGCGCCCCGCGTCTCATTTCTTCTGGCCCCCCTTCCTCCTCCCATCCCTGCCTCTGCCCTCCGCATGTCGGCCACCTCGCTACACCCTTCACACGTCTCGTGGCGGGCTCCACCGAAGGTCCCAGTGCCAGCGCACGTATGCGGTTCCACCCCGCATTTCGACGCACCCCTCAAATGCTTCGTGACTCCATAGGGAGTGCCCACCGACGGCCCCACTGGCAGCGCACGCATCCGGTTCCACCGCCACTTCCGCACACCCTCACACGTTCCGTGGCCCCATAATTAGGGAGCCCCACCGAAGGTTCCACAGGCAGCGCCCGCAGGCGGCTCCACCCTTCCATTTTGGCGCAGCCCTCACACGCTTCGTGGCTCCATAGTGAGCTCCACCGAAGGCCCCACTGGCAGCGCCCGCATGTTCCACCCCCCCCGTTTGGCCGTTCCCCTCCAACGATTCGTGATTCCACATGGAGCTCAACCGAAGGCCCCGATGGCACCGCCCGCATGGCGCACCCGCGCCTACCTTGGCACATCCGTCACACGCGTCGTGGCCCTAGAGGGAGCTCTGTCAACAACGATGTTACCTACAACTGCATATGTTTGGGTCCTTCGCCCAGATTTTTCTGCACCGTCAGATCGCAGGGTCCAGGGTTACGGACTGCCAGCGCAGTGCAACAAAAACAAAAGGCTCCCACTGCGGTCGATCTCCCGACGACCCTCGCAGGGCGTCGAGGCCGTCAACAAAAACGACTCGGGATGAGCAACCAGCCCAGGGGGACAGGCAGGACTTGCGGGAATCCCGTGCTGAAAGAATCAAGACATCCAGCGCCTGCAGCCTTGGCTTCAGCCCCCAGGTGTGGTCGTGACGCCGCTCCGCGTCCACTGCCAGATCGCCCCAACTCAGGCTGGCCGCACCAGCGCGCTCCTCCTGGAAACTCTTTCCGCGGTGAGTGCCGCCCTCCCCCGCCTGCTTTCTGCGGCCGCCCTCTTCCTCCTTCCCCCTCGTGCTGCTGGCCGAGTAGCACGCCGCACGACACCGGCTGCTAGAGCGCGCGAGCGGATCGCCTCTGCCGCGCTGCGACGGAAAACATCGGTAGGCTTCTGGGCGTGTTCGGCCCCCCTCGAGCCTCTAGCAGAGGCCTCCAGAGGCCTCCAAGACGGCCTCCGCAGGCCTCGAAGGACCTTTATGGATACCTCAGGGCGGGGGGGGGCGGCGATGTGGACGAGGAAGGAGGGATAATGCCTTGCTTGATGTTAACGTTGATGATGTCGTTTTACGATGATGGCACTGATGATGCTGAAGATGCTGATGATGCTGAGGATGCTGATATTGACCATACTTATTGTAATGATGATGACGAGTATGTTGACAACGCTGATGATGACGATGAGGATGATGATGAAGATGACGACGACGATGATGACGATGATGATGCTGATTCTGACGAGGATGATGATGATGATGATGATGATGATGATGATGATGATGATGATGGTGATGGTGATGGTGATGGTGATGGTGATGATGGTGATGGTAATGGTGATGGTGATGATGATGATGGTGATGGTGGTGATGCTGATGGTGATGCTGACGCTGATGCTGCTGATGCTGATGTTTCTGATGATGATGATGATGATGATGATGATGATGATGATGATGATGATGATGATGGTGGTGGTGGTGGTGGTGTTGATGATGATGATGATGATGATGATGATGATGATGATGATGATGATGATGATGATGATGATAAGGATGAGGATGAGTATGATGATGATGGTGATGCTGATGCTGGCGATGCGGGTGATGCTGATGGTGTTTGCCCCTCCTTCCTTGTGGGGGGGCGGGTGTAAGTTGTTGGCCACTTAGGGGGCTCGGGGGCTCCTACTGGCCGCGGGTGGGCGCGATTCTTGACCTCATCGGAGTGGGCCCCGGAACGGGTGCGGGGACCGGTTCAGGGCAGACGTCGACTTGGGAGGAGGAGGAGGAGAATGGGGGGCAGGAGGAAGAAGGGGAGGGAGGAGGAGGAGGAGGAGGAGGAGGAGGAGGAGGAGAAGGAAGATGATGATGATGAGGAGGAGGAGGAGGCACAATGGAGCGGAGGGAGGGGGGAGGAGGGCGGACGACGGCGGGCGGGTGGAGGCGAAGGGCCAAGACGCAGAGGGGAAGAATTGGGCTATATACAGTCGGGAATTTGCGCTTGGCGTGTCGCGGCGGCGGCCCCGGCGCCACGCTGTGCCTTGCGAGCGGACAGCGTGTCCCTCTGCTCCGCGGGTCGGAAAGGCTCGGGGCGTCGACACCTGGGGACTGGGCCGTGGACAGCGCGAAGCGTGGTGGGCCAGAACCGGCGGCGTGGCACGCTGAGCCAGGACGAATCGACAACGCGGAACGGCGATCGAAACGAATCGGATCGGCAAAACTCGGCAGCCACGTCGGGAGAAGTCGGATCGGCGGAAATCGGCAGACTACTATGCCTTCATTGGAAAATCGGGGTCCAAATCGGAATCTGAAATCGGATCGAATCAGAATCGGAAGCCATCGAAGTCGCATCGAATCGAATCGGGGGAGTCGAAACGCGCCCTGCGGGGCTGCCACCCCTCGGAGGGGACATCTGCCGCCCTGGCGGGGATGAGGAACCC